CCTAAAAGAGGTTATGTTAACATTATAAGTATAGGAAATCCAACGTAAATTTCAAATCAGTTCCCTATGAGGAGGGGTTCCCCCAAGAGAACTTCCCCCAAGAGAGGTTGCACTGTATAAGCAAAATTAACGCCCCCTCCCGAATTATATGCTTTAATTTTAATAATAATAAAGATGTGATTATTAATAAAAAATTTAAAACTTTTAATATTTTATTATTAGCTTGTCAGCACTAGTTTAAAGTTTATTAATTTTTATAATAATTAATTGTTACAATATTTTATCTCAAGAGATCTAACTCGCAATAGAGGGGGCAGTTAATATCTTATACTTATAATTGCATTATTTGTACCAAAAATAAATATTTATATCATTATTATGTGAAGGAAGTGGTGTCCAAGTGATTAAAACACATGCAATGTAGTAAATTATTACTTGTTATTCATTGCACTGATAATAACATTTTATTTTCATTTCGTGTTTTAGCAACCATTGGTTTTATTGTGTTTTCAAATATTAATTGCTATTCAATTTAATTGAGCGAAACATAATTAAATAGATTTTTGCTGGACTTTATATCAGGAACAAGGATTTTACTATTACATTCAACATAAATATTGTAAATGTTGTATTTGAAATGTCAATAATGCTATTTAATAGGGAATATCTATATTCTCATTTAGTAACACAATTAATCATAAGTTTAATTTTTCAATACACTTAAGCAACATTTAGGTAAATAAATGTTAAATTATTGTGCGATTAACTAGATAAAAGTATTTTTGCCAGTTTTAGTAAGTGTAAGTAAACTATTAACTTAATTTTAACTTAATGTAATATAATTAGTAATGGGTACTAATATATCATGCGGTGCCGCTTGTATTAAATATCTATTGTTCATCTTCAACATACTATGGCTGGTAAGTTCTCTCTCTCTCTCTCTCTCTCTNATTAAATAAATGATCATGGCAGATATTTGCAGTGGTGATCATAGTGTTGGGCTTCAAGTGTATTGACTGGTCCGGAGATATTGAGCACATATACAACAACAGCATTCTCTCTCTCTTTCTTTCTTTCTTTCTCTCTCAGATTAATTAATTAATTATGTTTTACTCAAAATAATTAAATAAATGATCATGGCAGATATTTGCAGTGGTGATCATAGTGTTGGGCTTCAAGTGTATTGACTGGTCCGGAGATATTGAGCACATATACAACAACAGCATTAAAACGGGCGCCGGTATTGTCATTGCCGTCGGTTTTCTCATATTAATTATGGCTTTCATTGGCTGTTGCGGTGCTATCACTCAAAACGTGTGCCTACTGTCCACCGTATGTGTTGTCCCGCTCACTCGCTATCATCACAATTTTACCAACATTACTTATTTAACACTTAAACTCATCTATGACACTGTTTTTAAATAGTACTCCGGCATAATCCTTATACTAGTAATCGTGGAAATAGTAGGTGTGGTCTTGGTGTTTATATACAAGAACGAGGTAAGTTTTGTTCAGAATAGACACTCTAGATAATAAGAATTATACTAATCACAAATATGTATAGATATCTAATCAACAAATATATTAAAATATTTAAATGTCCAAATAATCTAGATTGAAAACGAGCTAAAAACTGCGCTGAGCCGTGAGTTTGGTAAGTGGAACGGACCGACCGCCCGGGCCGTACAAGTGTTACAACAACGGTTCCGGTGCTGCGGTGTTACGGACTATCGGTCGGATTTCAGTGGCGAGTCAGTGCCCGCCTCGTGTTGTGACCAGTGGGCCACCGGTGAGGCGGCAGATAAGACGTGTCCCAAAATGTTTGTCCAGTTTAGCAAAGGCTGTGCCGATACTATTAGAGATACGATTAATAATTATTTGTGGGGCATCGGCGGTGTGGCCATTGCGCTGGTAGTCATACAGTTATTGTTGGTGGTGAGCGCCTGTTGCCTGGCAAGGGAATTGTGATGATCAGGGTCGTTTGGTGTCTTTAGTGTTCATGGTTATTGGTTAGATTTTTATTTTATTTATGTAGTTAATTAAAAAATGTAATATTTTAATGTGTGATTTATTGTTTCAAGGTAAAACTTATTTTTTATTTAATTCTGTTTAAACTTTTAAATAATTCCAGCACCTTTTTACTTATTATAAAATTTATTATTTATTTGTAATAAAAACATTCAAGCTTGTAACCACTCATATTATATTGATCATGGGCAACTTAATCGGGTTGACCCTCATCATCTCCAAGATTACCGAGAAGTGTGATTAACGGCGATATAAATGATTGCGGTCTAACCGTGTTGTTATCAATTTCGGGTATTTCGCTGATCACCTTGACACATCGATCGCTCGCTAATATTTGAATATGATCAATTAATAAAATAAGTTTGGTTTTGAAACAAACATTAACATGGTAAGCGCTTACATTCAGGGTATTCATAGCACATAATATCCATGAGCTCGCCGTATATCTCTGTGGCCCAGCGGGCCATGTAGTCAATGGTACGGGGAGTGCACTGTTTCACCTCCTCGGCCTCCGATATAAAGCACTGACGTAATTGATTAAACGCGCTTTTATGTGCAGGGAACAAATTTTTAAAATCAATTAATCATGCCTAAAATATATAGAATAATTAATAAATTACAAAACAAAATTATTAACTAAAAAGGAAATATTTTATAGTTCAAGTGGCGTAGACCATTTTAATTGGTATGGACATGTTCAGTACGGTTCACAGATTAATTTACTGTTGAGATAATCGGCGAATAGCCAGAAATGACTGAATTATGTACAAAATTCGAAATTTATACATAGAATTTAATTGAATTCAGGCAACGTTAAAGGTATGATAAATGATGAAAAGTTGTAATAAATGGTGAATCACACTTATCACAGGTTTTTCACCACAAGTCTATGCATTAGATGCTATGTATTTATTTCGAATTTTGTCCATAATTCGGTCATTTCTGGCTATTCGCCAATTATCTCAACAGTAAATTAATCTGTGAACCGTACTGAACATGTCCATACCAAGTAAAATGGTCTACGCCACTTGAACTGTAAAATATTTCCTTTTGAGTCGATTTCTTATATAGAAGTTTAACTGTGATATTAATTCTAATATTTAAACTATAAAAGAACCTATTTAGTCAAAAAAAAATGGCCTAGGCAATATTAATTGCTATGGACTTGTATACTTAAGAGATTAGTATTTTTTACAGCGAGATAATCTGCCTATGGCCAGCAATGACCGAATTATGGTCAATAGGTTTATATTACAACAAAAGTTTAAGTTTATAGTTTTAATTTATAAAATATAACGTAAATGTTATTAATTGTATTTTATAGGGAAGCACACCGTACCTAAAGGCACATTCCTTGTT